AATTCAAAGAATATCTCACTATCCAAGTCCAGGCTTTAGCCCAACAGGTCCAAGGCATCATTCCTCAATAAGTCCAGATTCTATTTTCAGTTTAATAGTCAAATCCAAATCATCCAGCAAGGTTTGAATCAGAGGAGTTATAAGCCAGCTTCTCCTTCAAACATCTGACAAGAACAGCCAAATTTTAAACTGTGGATAGCACAAATTCAAGAGGCCTTAGGTCACTTCTTGCCACAATTTCTCCACAGCAATTCCACAGTCTCTCCACCACCAGAGCTTCACTCTCAACAGGGTCTTGCTGCCACAAGCCTTGCTCTCAAGTCTTGCCACTCAGTGTGGGAAGCACTCTTTCTCTTATCCTAGTTCCACAGCTGTTGATAATATGCAAGGCCATGTGTCTGCAGTTAAGGTAGCTGGAGACCAAAGGTAGTTAATATAGCTAAAAAAAACCCCAATTTTTAAGGTAACACCACACTCCCTTGTGACAATTTCCCAATATTTCACATCTCCTTTACCCACCAACCTCTGCTATCCCGGTGATATTTTTTTCTTTCCTCTTTTTCTGCCTCTCCTTCTACCCTTCCCCTTTTGAACATTTATACATATCTTGCTCAGTTATCCTCCTATGCAGTATTTGTCCTTATGTAAATGAGAACTTTCACTCAATGTTTTTTAGTCTCTTCCAAGTTATACAGTATTTACTAAGTCATTGCTCCTTAGTGCAGCATAGTATCCAATTGCGTAAGTTACAACCATTTTTCAAACCATTCATTTGTTGATGGGCATTTGTAATACTTCCATTTTCTTGCTATTGTATCACTACTATGAATACAGGTGTACACATCTCCATTCATGTTTCTGTTCTGATTTCCTTGGGATATATTCCTAAAAGTAGAATAATTGGGCTATATGGGATTTCTAAGTTCAGTTTTTTGAAGAAATGTCAAACTGCTTCCACAGCCATTTTACCATCTTACAATCCCACCACAGTGCACAAGAGTTCCAATCTTTCCACATCCTCTCCAACATTTATTGTTTCCTATGTTAAACTTTGCTACTGCTACTGGACGTACATACGAAAGATCGATTGTGGAACAGACCTTCAACTACTCATATGCAAGTTCAAGCTGAAGCTGAGGAAAATTAAACCGAATCCATGGGAACCAAAATATGACTTTGATTTCATCCCATCTGAATTTCAGAACCATCTCAGGAACATGTTTGAGGCCTTGAACACTAATGAGCGAAGACCTAATGAGTTGTGGGAGGAT